TGGTGATGACGCTTTTTCTGTATCTTTCACAATCACGTCTGGGGCCTCTCAGAGGAGCAGCACCTGGAGGGCCACGGCCTTCCTTTAACAGCCTTACTTCCTTTTAAGAAGGGTGTTTGCAGGACATTATGTTGCTTGGAATGTACATTTGGATTTCAGCAAGAACTCTGCTTTGTTTCTTTGGGAATTTATTGTATGTAATTCTCTTAAGGTACAAGATAATAAAATGAAACTATTTTTTCCTTTTTTTTTTTTAAAGTTAAGATAAGACGAGCACAGCTATCTTATATTTGTAAAATTACTTTTGGGGAATTCTCTGTTGCATTGACTGAGCTGTTACTAAAGAGCTAAAGTCAGGATGCCAGTTCTTCATTTCATTTCTTTTCATTTCTTTTTTTTTCTTTTCTTTTCTTTTCTTTTCTTTTTTTTTTTTTGTGAATCTGTTGTCTTTGAACACTTTGGATATGAATCAGTTCACCTAGATTTGCTGCTTGCCACCAAAACTGCCCTTGGTTTTACCCAAAAACTGGCAGGAAATGTCGTGAGAGAACATGAGAAGATAGGTGGGGACAAGGTTGCCCATGTCAGTTATCTATTGCCTCATGTGAGTTACTAGCCATCGAGTATCGCACACGCATGAGGAAGCAGGGTCACGTCAATCACTAATACTTTGCATAAGTGGATTATTTTCCAGTGTTATAGTCTGGGTTTCCAAGTCCTCTTGGACCATGGATGGAAAAGGAATTGGGTGAAAGCTTAAAACCACGACTCTAACTCGGGGCCTCTCCGCTGTATACTCATTGCTAATTTCTCTAGCGTGGGCACCATCCTGTGCTGCGCATTGTAGGAGGGCTCTCCGCATCCTTGGCCTCTGTTCAATAGAAGCCAGTGGCACCTCCTTCCTGGTTGTGACAGTTGGAAACAGTGTCAGATGTCCCAGGGAGCAAAATTGCTTCATCTGAGAACCGCTGCTCTGGAATGAAGAAGAACAGTTTACTTTTTCCCCCTTCTTTCTCTTTTCCCCCTGTAGCTCTAACATCTGGGCGCGCTGTCCAGTTGACAGTCTTCAATACTCTGAAAGCAGACCCTCTTAGACAGCATGAGGCCTGGAGGGATATCCAGGTAGTTCTGAGAAAAATGTGAATCTTAGAGATCAGGGAGTGTTGGGGTTAACTATTTCTGATTTGTTGTTTTTGATACATCTCAGAGGAATTTCAATGCTCCCCTTCCCACCTCTGTTTTGAAGTATTCATTCTTGATCTAACTTAGAAGCACAGCCTCCCCGCCCCCCCATCCCCAGCTTGATTTTGACTGAAAAGTGTGGCTATAGCTCTGGCCCAAATCCTTGCATCTAACATTTGGCCCAAACTGGCTGCAGGCTGTGGCTGGTAGGAAACAGACAGGTCTGCCAAACCCATACTCGATTGAAGCCATTTGACGGGATGCTTAACCAGGGACTCCCACAATCGACTGCAGCAAATACCACTTAGAATCGTGTCCATGTTTTCTGGACTGCTGAGATGCCTCTTGGGGGAGGCGGGTAACTGCTCATAAAGAGGCAAGGTTTTCCTTCCTATACCCAGAATAATACTCAGCTGCTGGGAACACCCCAAAAGTCATTTTCATTCCCATAGTCACGTTTCATGTTCCCTTTCTCAGTGGGGATGAGGCAGAAATCATGATTTTTTGGAAACAGATTTTTCATGGGAAGGAACCAAACACCCTGAGTTTTCTGTCAGCAGCTTGTCGGTGCCTCAGAACCAGCAGCCTCCTGTCATCCAGTTGAATCAGAGGACACTACTCAGTCACCTGCTGAGGGTGTCCATAGCCCCTGTTTGGCATGTTTGACTGAATCATAGGATGTGTGTGAGCAGCAGCTAACCTCAGAGTCCTGGACACTGGCCCCCTTCCCAAGCCCGTCTCCTCGATTCAGGAATAGTGAGGGAAGAGCGATCAATAGTCTGGATGAATGCTTAAGGACATACGGTTTGCTTGAGAGGAAAAGTGAATATTCTCACTTCTTGATCTCTGCCAACTTCATATGGGCCCAGCTGCTGCGCAGGGCAAACACGCTAGTCCAGAGTTAGCTGTGCCCCTCAGATATGTGTCACCCCAAGCCACAGGCCAGCACCAAAATGCAGGTCTCCCCATCCACACAAAGGAGCTCTATCCTCAAAGGAACTGTGTGTCTTGACCAGCTCACTAATTGTGATTGAAAACACCAGCTCCCCAGCAATGCTCACGCATTCGAGTTAGCAGAAACAAGACAGGCCCTAATTGCTCCATTTACATAAAAGTAGAAACATACAACTTCTAAATATAAATCTCTGGCACATCGCTTCTTTTGCAATTACAGTAAAATAAGGTACCAGTTTCCCTCCGGGCTCCTCCTCACAGCAAGCTGCTCCCCGGGTTCGCTAGTGGCTGCTGCTCCAGGCGAGCACAGGGCCAGCGTGGAGTTGGAGCTTTGTGAAGTAGCCAGTAAATCAGAACGCCTCCGCTAGGTGCAGAGCGCGGTGGCAGCGGGCCACTCTGCCAGTGCGGTAGTCGGTGGGACCGAACTCCACACTCGGGAAGGGGCAGTCTGCGGGCGCCAGGCCTGTGCTGCCGCTCACATCGGCCGGCCCGGAGACCGCCAGCCCCACTGCAGGTCCCGGTCCCTGACATTCCCTGGCACCAAGGGCTGGGATCAGAGATTCCCAGCTGCACTCACTGAACAGTGATTTTTTTTTTTTTCCTTCTTCTTCTTCTTCCCCTCCCTGAATTCTTTAGCTGCCAAAGGGGGGAAAAAATCAAGAGCTGCGCTTTTAAACGAAGTTGCCCTTGCTGGTGTTCAGGGTAAAAATAGAGGCGGCCGCTTGGACCGGCTTGGCCCTGAGTCCAGGCGTCCCGCGAGCCGGGCTGGAGCTGCGCATTCGGGAGTGATCCCTGGAAACTGCCAGCAGGTGCTGCTCAAGGTACGGTGGCAGGCTGAGAAGGGACAGGGCCTGGGTGCAGGGAGTCTCCGCGGGGGGGGCTGGGGGGGCAGGAAGTGAAAGAGAAACCAACCCCGTTCAGAGCTGGGCTGACCAGCGCACGCCCTGGGCCCTGGAATTCAGCAGGGAAACGCTGATCTTGAGCCCAGAATATTCCAAAGAAGCTATTTTAACCTGCCTGCTTCCTCCACCACCCCCAACTTGATTTCCACGGAGAGAGAGGAGGCTTTCCTAGTGTAGTTCAGCTCTGAGGCTGGGGGATCCAGCTACATCATGTCATAGCTGATAGACTGGCTTAGCAGGTGGGCACTTCCGTGGTGTCAAAGGCCAACAGGGTCTCCGAGTGACCGGTGTGAGGTGGCCTCTGCAGTTAGGTTCCTGAACATTCCCATGACACACATGCTTAAGAAACTTACCAGTATGCCCAGAAATAACATTCTTTGTGACCACTGAGTTTTGACCCTGAGATTATAGATCCCATTTTATAGATGGGAACACTGAGGCTTGAGTTTAAATAATGAGGGAACCTCAGAGCTGGGGTCTGATCCAGGCACTTGTCTGTGCCACCCACACTACATTCAGGTGCAAGTGGTACTTTCCCTGAAATCATGTTGAGGCAGGAGGTGAGTTTAGCTGCTTGGAGGTTTTTCTCAAACAATATGGAAGTGCCTGTCTCCCAAGTGTTTATGTTCATCCTGGGTTGGGCATGGGGTTGACCATCTCTGATTTTCTTTATGTCTTTGCCACTCATATTCCTTTCTTGCCCTGCAACTTCGTTTCCTACTTCAGTTCTCTAATGCAGTTCTTAGAATGCTCCTCTCCCCTCCTCCCCGACATATAGCCAGCACCCACACTTTGTAGTCAAGAGATACCCTTGCACAGACAGCTCCTGGTGTCCTAAAGGAACCTTCCCCCACTACACATCAGGAGACCAGAGCCTCTATATTTTGCTTGTGGGCACAGTGAAAAGTTTATTTTATGCATGTTAAATCCGGCACACAAAACAACATATCTGGTCATATGGCTTTCATTAGCTCCCAATTTTGCACATTTTATCCAACTTGTCATGAGAACCTGGCCAGTACTTCAGCTGTGCTCCTTCCTGAGAACAAGGCCAGTCTTTACTGGGCTTATCGGAGTGTACCTCCCCTCTATGTTATCTCCCTGCCAGTGTGATCCCCCCAAAAGAGAACCCCAAAACTAACTTTACTTCTGTTTCAAGAAGAGTTCACTTATTTTCATCACATTCATATTTATAATGTTTGTAAATTATAGGACTTGAAGTTCTAGTATAAAAAAAAGATGTGTGTCTTTTTTGGTGTGTTTTTGTGGTTGTGTTTTTGCTAGTTGGGATGGGACTCTAAAGATCTAGGCAGGGTACTTAGGAAGTTCACTTGCAAAGAAGGACCATTTCCCAAGTCTGGGGTGATAAATGATGTATGAAGCAGGCATTCAATTTCAAGGTGTAAATTAATAGTGTGAGTCAAGGCAGGGAGACCATCAGAACATGGACATACAGATTTTCCTATGTTTTTCCTCAAGAAAATAGCTTATTTTAATCATAATTATCAAATCAGACTTCCTATAAAGAACACTATGACTTTTCTTTGCTGTGGAAAAAGTGCTTTGCAAATAGAGGCAACTTTACGAAGTAACAGATGTTCTTTGTACAGACATAAAACTGAATCTGAATATAACAAGAAGGGAAAGGGTGAGTAGTAGAAAGTCAAGGCTGGACACTCCTGGAGATGTATATGCCTGTATTTGGTTCTCTTAGTTTTTGTAAAGGGTGAACTATTCCTAGCCACAGGCTTTACTGGCTCAGTACATCACCCAGGTAGTGTCTCAGAAGCCAAGAGGGATTTCCATTGGATAATGAATTATGAAATGTCTCACCCTGGAAAAACTAGTCATCTGCTGATGTCATGCTGATTCTAACCAATCCAAACAAAGCCCCAGCCCTCCTCTTTGCGAGGTACCAATGTGTGAGTGTACAACTAAGTACTACAGTATAAAACTTCACAGTGCCAATACCATGAAGAGGAACTCAGACAGCTCTGACCTCATGATACAAGAGCCGGCTGGCAAAGCAGAAGGGACCCGAAAGGTAATGCTTTTAAATTCTTGCTTATGAGCTCTATACACATTAAAAGTCACTATGGCTAAGAGGACTTTTACAACTTTTTGGCACCTCCATAGGCATTGTAATTTGTATCGTTTTCTATTGTGCAGGCAGGTTAATACTGTTTTTAATAGTTCTAGAGCATGCAAATAGATTATGTGTTTATACAACCCACTCAGCACACATATACAAGTACATATGCCAAAGAGAAAGCTATTTTTAAGAGTTCCATTTGCAAACAGTAAATTCAGGGAACACACACATATTCACATGCAGAGAGAATCCAAACATTGATAAGTTGCTCTTATCCAAATGCTACTATTAGGACTCTCCAGTTGTTTAGAGTCATTAAACTTTTAGCTCTGTGTTAGTCTGTCTTGTAAAACTTAACTGCACCACAAAATGCTCCGGGTTCTGTATCTGTGACTCCAAATAGGTGGGTGATGTTATTATAATACAAAGATGTTTTATTGAACCATTATAATACCCATTGCCCTACTTCCCTTATCTTTTTACCACCCCCCTTTTAAAAATGGGAGTTTTAGGTAATGTGGACAGTCTTATCAATAACAGCAGAGCTCTCCTACCCCTACAAGGGTGTCAGAAGGTTTGGAACCAAGCAAGTTCTGAAAAAGGTAGCATTTGTATGGTTGAGAAAAGCATTGTTACCTGTCAAAACTGGAAGTTTAACTGAGTGTTAGGATTTTATCAAGCTCTTCTCCTTGTATGTAGACCTTATGCTTGTAGTTCTGACACCTAGTAACTGTCCTCCTGACCTGCTTTGCTAGACTAGAATGCTATGAACAGGGTAAGTGTCAGGTAGAAGCCGGGTGTCTCTACAGAAACTAAGAGGGCTTACGTGTAGGGAAGAAACTGAGAGAAAGGGGCAGCTTTAACAGATGGATGCTTTAAAGATACTTCTGCAAGATAAAAGCAATAAGACAGAAAATGAAAAGGGGGTGTGCAGGACTTTAAAAAAAGCCCCAGAAAAGCATTGTTTTAAATTGCACATTTGTTTTATTCTGTGAGCACTGTAATCCTCCATGATTTTAGCTGTGCTGTTACTTTGAAGAGAAAGGAAGCAGCCAAGCAGGGTGCCATGAATGATATGGTCAAGACTGGGTGGTGGTGGTGGTGATGTGTGCGCACAGAAAACAAAACAAAACTGGCACATGCCAGAGAAAAATAATTTGACAAATATATTTTAGAGATTCTTTCCCCATAGGCCAGTTATTCACATGGTAAGAGTACACTCTTTTTATGAAAAAATGTGAGAAAGGCCAAATTAATTCTGTGCTTTATCTGTGAAGCCAGGACAAGGGACAGTAGGCTATAATTTGTGAATATGCGTGCATCCAGGGGAGAGAGAGAGAGAGAGAGAGAGAGAGAGAGAGAGAGAGAGAGAGAGAGAAAGAGAGAGAGAGAGAGAGAAAAGTGAGTACCTTCTCTGATTAGGGCATGTAAAATGCTGCTTGCCCAAGGGAGCTTCCAATGCCCTGCTGTGGTGCCCAGTTGGCAAAAGCAGAGTGTATTAGATGACCCCAGACAAAAGTTCTGCTGCGCTCCAGGTCCCATTGGATCCCCTGCTGGCATGAGGACCCTGGACATTTAAATATGAATGAATGGCAGAAAGGAATGGTTCTGGATTCTGTCAGGCAGAACAACCAGCTGTCTTAGGCAGCTCCTCTGCCCCAGGCCCAGTCCCCTGACCTGTGAGATCTACTGAGGACTTCCCTCAGCCCCATATCAAGGCCAGGTGGGTGCTTACTCCAGAGTAGTGCGAGGTCATGGGAGAGGACTTCGGGGGCACACTTTCCAATCAAGTTATCTCAGTGAATGGAGACAGTGCATTTAGTTGGTTTGGGTTTTCCCTTCCAAAGAAGGAAGGTGAAACGGACAGAGCAGAGAAAGATGAAAAGAAGTTAAAAAAAAAAAAAAAAGTAGAAGAAAAAGAACGAAACCCCTAGACCAAAAGTGAACAGAATTAGGAGCATTTATTGTAGAAAGGACTGAAGAATCACCCCCCCACCCCCACCCCCAGAGAATGGCAGGATTTGAAGAGAGGTGTGCGCGAGGGAGCGAGGAGCAGAAGGAAGGCAGCCTGTCAGAAACGGGCTGTCCCTCCTCCCCAGTCACAGCTCTTACTCACAGCCGCCCGCCCTCCCTCTCCCATTCACTCACTCACTTAGGGCCAATCCGTCTCTCTCTCTCTCTCTCTCTCTCTCTCTCTCTCTCTCTCTCTCTCTC